TGTGTGTGTGTGTGTGTGTGTGTGTGTGTGTGTGTGTGTGTGTGTGTTGCAATACTGTGATCATAGATAAAATTGGTTTTTTTCATTTTTGTTATAAACTCACGAGCCGGGTACAACGTTTAACAATTTTTTATCGACAAAAATTGTTTTGGTAAAAAATTAGTAAAGTCCCTCTTTATTTTATTATTTGCATTAGTTTCGAAAAAAGCTATTTTATAAGATTTGTTTTCCCAAAATGTTGACCATTCATCTGTATTTTATTTAATAAACTTCTTATTTTTAATCTTTTTTTTTTTTTTCTTAATTATTTAATACCATCAGTGTTCTAAGCACTTATCAATTCATTGATTTCTCTTTCAAATCCTGCGTGATATGAAAATCTTTTTCTATAAATTAACGTTTCTGGGATAGAAGGTCCTTTCTCCTTATGGCGATCGAAATTTCCAATCGTCTTCATGGATAAAACTAAATAATAAACACATCGTGATTACAATCGCAGATAAGATTTCATCTAATGTTCGTTCTAAAAACCAGTACATTTATAATGAGTTCAACATCCATAGATAAACTCAACCATAATATACCTGGTATGATAGCGTTATAGTTAGTTCAAGCTTATATTATTGTAGTGGATATCATAGTTCTAAACCGACAAACATGGATTCCAAAACATAATCGACGATACGCGCGTAATATTATTTTTAATCGACTTGCGTTCACAGATTTTGTCTACGTAAAAACCGTAAGTAACAAACGTTTTCGCCGTGCTCGGTAAATGACGTTGCACCGATCGAAGACCGCCGCGAACACCTGAGCTAGTGTGTACGCGGGATTTCGTCGTTCGAACGCATAACGTAAAGTACAAATTCTGCAACATACCCGCGCGACAACCGGTGTAATACATTATCGAAAATAACGACAACCGAATGTTTGACCAGCCGCCGCGGGTATACGCGTGTTTGATATTACGTTTTCGTCGCGCGCCCGCGACCTATCTAACCCACTGGCGCTCATCGTCCGATTGTTTTTATTGTTAAAAAAACCCATGCGCGATTGTATAACCGGTTGAATCGCTGCGTGATTTCACGTTACCGAGTGGCGAATGTGTTTTGATTCGCACGCGGCGGACCGTTTATTGTGTCAAGGATAAACGGTCGACCGAAATCCATTGGGCAGAACTTGTGTTTGCGCGCCCAACGAACACGTGCACAAAAAGGGTGATTCGCTTGTGCAGGACTCCCCGGAGGAGTTGCGTGCGCATGGCCCGGACAAAAACGGGTTTCTGCGTTTTACGTAACGACTACGACGGACTCGACTCTGCGGTACGGCTATTTGCGGCGTCGTCGCCGTGGTCGGGCGAAAAATGGCGTACAAAACTTGCGCGTGAAAAAAATTATGTGTACACATACCTATACGATGGAAATATCGTTTCGACGCTCGACTACGGTTCGCGTACGTTTTCAAATACGTATTGTTTCTTCGCGAACAACGAGAGGAAGAAAAAATCTAAACCGTCACCGTCTGCGCTAGAGCTCTCGCTAACAGTGGCGTAGCAAGGGTATGGCCTAACTGTACCTTTCAATTATGAAAGTAGGTAACGCAAGGCCGTTTGAATAAACAATGTCATATAAATAAATTATCGATGAATTTGCTTGTTATTAGGCGAGAAAAGCAAACTTTCAAAGTTTAAAATCTAACCTGTAATAATAACTCATAAGTATAAATTGTATACTTAAAAATATTAGTAAGATTAAAGGTTAAAAAATATATCATGACATCAGATTTGAATTGGTTAAAAAGCGTTTTTTTTTCTAAGTTTGCCAGGGGCGTTAGCGAGTCTTCGTACGCCACTTTCGTCCGATCACCGAAAATCTACTGCAATTGACAATATATATATGTATGAAAACGTAAGACGTCCGAGTACGAACATTTCGTTACAGCATATGTATAGTGTAAACCACTGTCTAACCGCGGTACAAGTAGTTTTATCGGATAATTATTATGTGTACACACACATTCCACACGTACCTGTTACACGTTTGATAACGTAATGTCACTTTTCGACGGTGATTTTTTTTTTTTTTTAAGTACCAATAAATACATTAATCAACTCGAAAATCGTGCTCGTGTAACAGCGTGTGCTTTTCATTTACGATTGCATTATTGTATTTGTATAGGAACTTAAGGACGAAATCAAAACGACCAGTCTTTACCCGTTAAACGTTGACTTGTGTCACGAAGAGGAGATCATACGAGCGTTCCAATGGGTCGAAGAGATGTTCGGCGGCATCGACGTGCTCGTGAACAACGCCGGTGTAGGCGGACGATCCACACTCATAGGTAATGAGGTTTATAAATAGTTTATCGTTGTTATAATTCATAAAATACAATTATTGTGTCGTATTTATACACCGAAGTCGTAGTTTAAATATACATTATGCGATCAGGGAATGCAGCATTGAACTCCTTCCAGCTCATTATTTCATTTATCAATAGTTTTCAATTATAATATGATATTTTTGTTTTTCATGAATGTTTAAAATTCTTAAAAGTATCACTGAAATAATTATTTTATATTTCTTTGCTAAACTACGATGTAACTGAATATATATTAGAGTAACAAGTAAATCTATAACTCCTATCAAAAAAAAAAAAAAAAAATTAATTATAATAATACTATAAAGAGTACGGAATTTAAGATATTCGATGCCGGCAATTCGATTATTCAAGGACAATAATACTCGAGAATCATTTTGAGCGCCTTACCTAATATATGTTTTATACCTATATTCTCGCAGGCACATTATTAGCTTTTCAAATATATTCTATTGTCGATGTAGTCAAGCATTGAAACGTGGAGAGTAAACATAATTTATCATAAACAAGTGTACAAGTATTAACTATGTGAAATGAGAGGACTTGAGAACTGATATTTAAATAATTTCTACGGAGGCTTATTGAATATATATTTTATTTCTGGGGTACCTATTTGATATATTTATTCAATAACATTTTTCAGTAATCACCTATTGGCTCGCCGCACAAAATTTAAACGTATAAACAGGCCAAAAAATATTTGACTTGGTCTCTTAAAAGCACTGATTTATAGATGTATTATTAGACTAGTTTGGTTCGTTGGTATCCAACATTTAAGTATTGCTAAATCTTCAAATATACATCCACTGTAGGCCGTTCAATCCATTAGTCTTAGACATATACCTAGAGCTCCTTGGTTTGTTACGAACAAATCTTTCCATAAAAACTTCCAATTTATATAAATTTATAAATAACTATAACCTACAATCACCGAACTCGCCAAATCTCACTAAAAAATATTCCACATTAAATTATCAAACCATTCGAACCCCTCCCATCAGTAATATGTTCATTTTCTCTCTTACCGATAGTGTTTAATTTCGTCTGAAATGTACCTAATTGGTCATGAGATTTACATTAAGTATAAATTAATTTTAATATTACAAACAAAAAAAAAAACTTACAAGTTAATGTGTACAATTACATGTATATTAAATTCTAAGGTTGCGTTAGTGAACTGTTTTCTATTCAAGCTATTCATGTGAACTTTTCTTCTGCTTGTACTAAAAATGTACTTATTGTTTTTTTTGAATAATTGATTATAAAACAACTATCATAAATATGCCTATATTGACAAGAAAAAAAATTATATGGTTTTATTATACTCGTATATTATAAGAAATTTATTTGAAATATTAGATAGTATTAAACTATCATGCGTGACGTTGAACAAATTATTGAATAACAGAATCATATGTTTGTAGTATTCGAAAGTATTTGAAATTTCAAACTAAAAATGTCAACCTGGAAATGGTTATAAATTATTTCATGGTGATTTCGGTTATTTTAAGTAAAATGTATTTCCCGTCGGATAAAATTTGGTTTGTTTCTAATTTTTAATTTATTTGAAGGTATTCGTTATTGTACGAAACATTCCACGAATTATAAATATATAATATGAATCCTCCGGAAATGAAGATGACTCCTTTATTCTTCGGTTTGTAAATTGTTTATCCAATTATTAGCTCTTCAGTTCGCCAAGAAAGCTAACGAAAAAAACACAAAATAATCGAGGAAAACTGTTACAACATTTTGTATAGTTTGGTTGTTGTAACTCATAGTAAACACTTGATAAACGAGCTTTTCGTGTGGGCCGCATTCTAAAGATTTCGTGAGTAGGAATTTAAATTATTGTGTAATATTATGTATCATTAGCCAAATATTTATAAAAACGGTTGTTCAGATGTAAATGTTTTTGCGATTGTATCACCTTTTTTGAAAAGAATCAAATTTTCTTATGAATACCTCAACGAGAAACAAGAACTATGTAAGTATTTTCTACTTTATGAACGCCTATAGGTAGGCACTATTTTCGCGTGAGGATATTCGTTTTAAGATTTATCTTAAAATTCTAAATAAGACGATTAGTGCAGTGCGTATGTTAAAAATACATTGTCAATTTTTACACACGTGGACGCAAAAGATAATTCAATGGTTTTTTTAAAAAAAAAATTATCTCCCAGACTCCGTGATTCACCAACAAAATAGTTTATATGATTCATAAGGAACATTAATTTTATAATAATATAGGAAATAATTAATGAGTGATGGCGACGATAGGAATGAACGGTTATAGAAATAAGACCTGTCACTTGGACGTAATGCACAGTTAATCATAATATATTACAACGATATTATTATTAAGTTAATAACGATATGCGGTAGTCGTGAGCATTAATAGATCAGTACTTGGTAGGTTTTTTCAATATATTGGATCGTTTGATACTTACACTTTTTATGACTTACAAATGGTACGTTCTAAAACGTTGGTCAGAATTGGCACAAAGAGCAATTTATCAATAGATTTGGTAGTTGAGTTCCGGTGAATTTTTTCAAACGTATTTTCCGCTTCGCTTTTTTTTACGGAAATTATAAATAACAATTTTCTACTAATTTTCTTTCGTACGACTCCCGCTACAATTTTACCTATTTTTTCAATTCTCAACTTTAAATATTTTCGGAGGTGGGACTGTTCCATTAACATCGTGTCCCGCACATACCGCGGTGGTGTTTCGTATTTAGTTAATTCATCATTTATTATATTTTAATGTGCCCATGATAAGAATAGTTTCGACTTATAACTATTGATTTATATTTTGTACCGATTTACTGATCAACTATCAACATTTACTGACCTATTTATCAGCATGAACGTCGTCGATCAGTCACCACACTCAAATGTAGAGTGAAGTAATTGAATACTTTCAACCATCGGGTACAAGTATTAATTAACAGTTTGGCTACAAATAAAATCATCCAATGATATTGCCCAATTCGGCACGGATCACACGGTCTGCACACACAGCACGCGGTGATAGTATACTTATAGTGGCCCAAGTCCTCGTTTTTAGGTCCTAATGCATTTATATAATGCGTGCGTGTACTTCTATATAGACGCATGTATATGAATATAGGTTTGTATTCATAGGTGATATGACCGTATGCAAATTACATTATGTTAATATTCTGTCCGTAACATTATACAACACAATGTCAATATCTCACAAACCAGTAATTAAATTATTCGAAAACCCCGGTGGAAAAATTATCACGGTTCAAATTATCGCGCGTCTCTGTCGTATGTTGAAATATACTTCTTTGACTTTGTTCGATTCATGTCAGTTTTTATTGTTGATACATAAGTCGTTCAAGATCACGTGCGTGCACTGTATGAGTATGTGTGTATTAAGATTAAATTTTCGCCTGGACTACTTTCTATGTAAATACTTTTATATTGCCTTGAACCATAAAAGTTATACATATATATGTATATAGAAGATATCTACACAATACACTTTTCATTGAGTAGTTATAATAATCGACCGGCCCATAATAACATAATATTTTTAATAATCATTACAGTATTGATTTCCAACAGTGGACTGTGAAAATGTCAACATAATAATATTACTTTTTTGCCGTACCCATAATACTTTTATTTAATTCCGTCACACTATTGATGTACCCTTTCCTCACTCCGCAGTAGTTATAATACAGCCGTACAATACGTTATATATATAACTATTGTACTACTATTAATATATTTTAATACTATTAACTTCGTTATTTATATTTACAACAAAGTTGAACTCAATTTTGCTAGAGAAGTTTTGCGTCATCATACACAGCATTGCATAACTTATTTTATCAAAACAGTTCCAACATATTAGAGTCAATATTTAATACTATAATACGTTAAAGGGTAGATCCTGTGATATATTTGTGTACGCATTCCTTTGTAATAAGTGACTGTAAATGATTAAATTTCGATCGGAAATAATAATGGTTTGGTTGGCAAATATCAAACTTAAACATCAGTTATAAGTCATAACTTATGATATTAAATGATTGAGCAAATTATATCCCTATGATGTTTCTGGGTACACTACCACAAGGTTACATTAAGATTCAGAAAAAATTAAAATCGGCATTAATCTTCTCCTCTTCATTCACCGATTGGTAATGATTAGAATTAGGATGTTGATAACCTAAAAAACATACAAAAATGCCCAAAAAAAAAAAAAATGCAAAAATGCTCTAAAAACTTCAAAAAATGAACTTAAAAATTATCAAAAAATTTTAATTAAATAAGTGAAAAAAATGTATTTATAAATAATAATTTTTATTAGAGATTTGGGTATGATAATGGGTGTAATAGTAATTTAAAATGTGAATTATAACATTAATAAACAATAGAATACATTTACATTTTAAGCATTATATAAATTTATTAAAATTAAATTAAAAAGTAAATAATAATGATAAAAATGATTTATATATGAATGTTATACAAATGTTCTTTAAAATCTAAAATTTGAGAAAAATGCCCTCCACATTGTACAAAAAATACAAAAAATGACCTTAAATATGAAAAAATTACTTAAAAATGTTGAAAAAATGATGTTAAGAAAACAAAAACATGCATTTATAGTTGTAAATGCAAAACAATGCAAAATAAAATTAGAATATTCTACATTTAAAGAATCAGCATGAAACAAATTTTGAGCTAAAATAGCATTGTATAGAATTAATAGAATCAAAGGAAAAGAAATTCAAAATTCATCAACATCCTAACTTTTGTAATGATTATTCATATGTTACGGAACACTTTTCACACACACACACACACACACACATACACAGTAAAACGGTCCTTCTCAGGACCAACAAACAACAAGAACAAATATTGACCAATCACAGGCCGTTATTAGAAAAACACTAAAAAACAGCACCAAAGTACATACAACTTACGGTGAAGGGGGGGGATATCAATGGATAGGGGAGGAAAATACCTATCCTGGGATACCACCAAATTCACCGAAGGAGAAGGATACTGTGACCAAAATAAGACGGAGAATACGAGACGGACCGAGGAAAGGGAAAGGAGGAAAAGAACGACAAGAACATAAAATAACGAGATCGGGAGTGGTACCATCGGATAGGGGATGAAAATACCTATCCATAGACATCACTCACGATCTAATCGAAACAAGGGGAGAGAAGCTACCATCCGAAACGTAGACGCGACCAGACACCGGATGAACCGTTTACGCGAAAAGTTCACTGGTCGGTACGGTAATATGTTTATATATCGGCGCCCCGCCGCGAACAAATCCAAACCTAAATCTTAATTTTAATCAATTCAAATTCTAATCCTATCCTCGCTTACGCAGGTTCTCCCTGGGCCCTCTTCATTTCTCCCTCACACTGGCATAAAATTGAATCCGTTCAAAACATTGGCATCCGAATCCTTGAAATCCTATCCTTTTAAAATCTATAAATTTCGAATCTATCCAACACTCAATAAGATCTCAATCCAAAATTATGTGTTATAACAACTTCTTTTCCAACCACAACCACATCAGACTTTTAGGTAAAACAATCTATCCTCCATCCACAAAACTTGACCGTATCCCAAAACCCTACCCGTTAACACGGGCAAACCAACTATTATAACTAGGGAACGGATTTATATGTAAATACATATTTTTATTAAAACGAGATATTTAAAATTTGATAAGAAATGTTCATGATTTAAATCATTCCTATTAATATGATGCTACTTTTATTTTACATATTTTTACATATTTTGGTATAATTACATATTTTTACATATTTCACTAATTTGTAAATATTTTTAAACATATTTTATTATTTCATCATTCATACGTCTTCTTCGTACAAAAATACAAGAAATTATTTCAAATTTAGATCCAGAACTTCTATCGCTATTAGAAAAGCTCAAAATATTATGCAAAATGAAACATTGAAAACTCATTTAATTTTCATCTCAGTGAATTTTAGTTTTATTGCACATACATTTACAAAATAAGAAACAAAAATATGTCCTTGAATGAAAGTATGCAAATTGTCGAATCAACGATTGCAAAATGAAAACTCGTAAACGGACCAATAGGCGAAGTTGTAAAAAAGAAAATTCATGTTGTTACAGAAAAAAATTTCAGGCCATATTGATTATAAATCAATCAATGACATAGAGTGGCAGACACCCTTCTAAAATTTTGGAATTATCGCCTTCTAATATTATGCCCTTCAAATATGCTTAAATCAACCGATGTAGGTTGATGTGGAATGATCATTTAGCCGTTTTAAAAATATTTTCAAATCTAATAGGCGATATTTAATATTTAATAATTTAAAATTGTAATAATTCAATGCAACAAATCATTTTGATAATTTAATAATTATAATTTTTTTTTTTTTTATTAAATTTTTTTCCTACATATTTGGATGGTTTTAGCACATATTTTATACATTTTACTTACATAAATATGTACATATTTATGTATTTTTATTACATATAAATCCGTTCCCTAATTATAACTAAACCAATCCAAATTCATCCACTAATAAAGGCGCAAGCCTGGTGTAGTAAACGGCACAGTCCAGTCTTATAAAGCAAAGCGACAAATTCAATTTCTTCAACTTCCACATCAACTCTCAAGACATAAACCAAACCATACAAAAGGACTGAATTGGATTTTGAGAAGGAAGACTTACGAAAATACCAACAGCCGCGACGATCTTACAATTGGTCCTGTACAGCCGATCAGAGAACCTGAACCGCCCCCGCCGCAGCTGAAAGCCCAACATACCGTCGCTACGGTTACAAGCATCGCGCCGCAACGGAAGCAGACAGTGCTCACCGAGACCCACACGCCGATTACAACGAACCTGCCGCCGCGATCACTCGTTACGGTATATCGCATACACGTCACACCGCACGGCGTGGTCATCCGGATTACACCTCTCGGAGCTAATCGATTACTAAATAAACACTATTTAGCGAACGTCCTCGAAGTGCAATTGCGGTCGACAATACACGGCGGCGACCCACGTAGCCTCTCGGTGCGACGTCAAACTTCGACCTACGGACGGTCCCGGACTCAACGGTCGGCCGACAGCGGACGGTGCCTGACCCGAAGCCCGAACGCGGAGTAAAGTCGGAGTTGACGATCGAAGACCCTGGAAACTCAGCCGCTACCCGTCCAGCGTGGCGCGGACCACCACCGACCAGTGAACACCAGGCCGCCCGGAAATACTCGCCAGCCGTCCGACCGAACGGATTCAGAGCAACTATTCCAGCACCTACGACCATCGGACCAACACTCGGCCGCAACTCGTCGTCACCAAAACAACATTTTTCAGCGCTCCCAAAATACTACCGAGACACTTGATCAAGTTGACCACCCCGGATTCGGCTCATCGCCGGGGTACTGATTAATTAAGTCTGTACCGGCGACGGTCAACCCCCAGATCCATAACTGTATATAACGCATGACACAACCGATATTGTAATATTAGGGCCCGGCCTCGGCTCGGCTAACGTTCACAAGCACCACCGACTGTTTCGACCCACTTTTCCAAGTTTGGTCGAAACACGCCGACGCTTTACTAAACGTATGTTTATTTATGTATTATACCAAAATAGAGGAATGTGATTACCTATAACTACGTGCATTCATATTCTTTCACGATCCGGAACGTCACCTCGGACGTTCCGTTTCACATACTCGGTGTGACTAAAAAAATATATGTGCGTCTGATATCTGAACAATAAAAATTCACAGATTTTATTATATTTCAAAGATTGCGTATTCAAATTTTTATTTTTAATTTAATTTTGTGAATTCATATATAATGGTCACATCACGTAATCTAAACATTTTTTTTTTTTTTATATGTTTATTTACACAATCTGATACATATATTCTGAAAAATAAGTATAAGTGTATTAAGATTTAAAATACGAAAATGGCAGATAAACAACATTTGAATTCGAGAAAATAGTTAAGCAAATAGCGCTCTACCTTTTTATCCGTAAAAATTTCAAATATCTAATACCGAGAAGTATATTTATAGTACTATTATAATACTATAGTTTAAGTTTAAACTTCAATTTTAATTTTATTAGTGTGTTATTATCGTACAAAACTGCAAAATGCGAGGACATCGATAAAAATAATTGCTCATTATTACGGCGTAATGTCTAACGCAAATTAAAAATTAATGTTAGATGGTATGTATTGATGCCTGATGTCATAATACGCGTCGAATGCAATGCGATAAATTGATAAACTCTTCTTTAGAATTTTAACCATCTAACAATTAAACTATAAACATTTTTAACATAACCTGTAAGATATTAACGCATTCCTAACAACATGTATATCGTGATTTGTGAAGTAGTTTACGATAGGTAGTGATATTTTAAATTTAGTTTACTACAGGGACATTATTATTAAAGGGGGGAAGGGGAGATAAATGGATATTAAATCATACATTTTTAAAACACAGTTTTAGCTAGAAGAGCATTATCTAAGAATTTTTCTGAAAACAGCTAAGACACTGCCAAAAAAGTATCAACAAACCATGAAAACTATGCAACTAACCAATTCTTTACGAAATATGTGATCAGCAATTTTCAAAGTGTGTTCTAAGGAACCTACGGTTCCACAAGATTTGTGTAAATATAAAAAAAATGTATATTTTCAAATATTTTATTCGGAAATATAAATCATTTTTCTATATTTTAATTAAGAATATACATGTTATGGCCCCTAGGCAATGAAAAAAAAGCGTGGAAAAAGTAATTCCATTCGTCATTTCAGGCTGTACACGATTGATACACAAGTAACGAAAAACCATAAAGCAAATATCTTCTCTATAATATATGCCACACCGAATTTTTTTGAATTCACCGATTTTACGCGACGATGTTGAACAACGGTCCTCACTAAGGTTTTAGAAAGTCGGTTGAATAAAAATATGTAGCCCTCAGTAAACCCCGACGACCGTACAAAGCATACATACCTGTATAAAAATGTCTCGAACTAGTAATAGTTAAAAACACGGCCAACGTTTACGCTGTAAACGTTTAATTTCTTCCGATAGAAATGTGATCATCGAGCACGTTAATAAATGTTCCTTCTATGTGTTGCAGACGGTACCGTTTCGGAGTGGAAAAAAATATTGGACGTAAACGTCATAGCGTTAAGCGTTTGCTCGCGCGAAGCTGTGAAGTCCATGACCAGCCGTAACTTGGAAAACGCTCACATCATTCACCTGAGCAGGTAAAAACACATTAAAATTATTATGGTAACATTGTTGTTGTGGTTCCAATGTGATTGTATTTGCTGAACGGTCGGTTTAGCAATTTGGCGCATTTCGTCCCAGCGTATGGACCGTTTCACTTTTACTCCGCGACCAAACACGCGGTGCGCGCACTCACCGAAGGGCTGCGACAAGAACTGAGGGCGTTGAAGAGTCCTATAAGAGTCACGTGCATCAGTCCTGGCCTCGTCAAGTCGTCCATATTCAAGAACTCGCTGGGAGAAAACTTCGACAAACATCTGTACGACAATCACCCCAGTATTAGCCCCGCAGACGTGGCGTCCACAATTGAGTTCATACTATCCACTCCTCCGCACGTACAAGTAATATATTACAAACCGATTTTTACATTTAATACCAAATCTCATAGTTTGAACTTTTATTTTCACGATTAACAATTACATTGCATCCAAACCAAAATACCAGAAAAAAATACAACCTTACAACAAACTTTATTTATTATTTAAATATGTAAAATCACAAATATACATTATAATTCATGTTCAAATAAATGAGGCAATTGTTTATAGTTTAAAAAATATTCTGAATAGTGAAACAAAATACTTTATTTTATTTTTGTTTTCTTTATCAATCACAAAACCATTGATTATAGAATATAATGAAAATCTATAATCGCTATATTACATTTTAATAAGTACAGTAATTCTGGAATTAAATATATTTTCTGTCTGTAGTAAGTTATGCTCATTTTGTAGATAAATACAATGCATTCAATTCTTAATATGTATTTAGTAAATAGTTTATAGAATATTTTTCACTTTGTAAAATCACAATTATTCAAAAACTTATAAAATATTATAAAAAAAAAAAAGAAAAAAAATTACAAATACTAATAACGTGAAGTTATGGTAAAAAAATATTTATGGTTTATGAAAAGAAATTTTTTACTTAAAATAATAAGAGAAAAATATACACTCAATGATAAAAATGATTCATTAATTACTATGTCATGTTGTAAAGATACAATAAAATGAAGTAATTGATTAAAATATATAAAATATACAAATGTCTTCTGTAAAGCGAATGATTTTAGTGAAACTTAAAAATGAAAACATATAACAATATAAGAATAAATCGTATACTATATATATACATAAATGTTATCACAGTCACAACACAGAAGACTTATTACAATAATATCTCATAAACATAAATATCAAACAAGTTAATTGGCATACAAAAACATTTTATGCACTAAAAATGATACAAAGCGATATATATATATATATACGTATGTTTATGTTTATTACCAAAATATGACTTGTAGAGAAACCTTTACCAAATATATTATAGTTATCATATTATAGTTGAAAACAATAATACAATTTTTTTTTTATTTATAATTTTACAAAGATTAAAATTTTTAAAATTATTATTTGTTTCAGGTGCAAGATATTATAATCAAACCTGTAGGTTCAGAGGCGTGAGTTACATGAATTCTCATTAAATACGTTATAAAGTTCATCTCAGATTAAAATATTAATGTAATAGTTAATCAAATAATTAAAATTTACATCGTAATACAAAGAACTTAAATATGTATACATACATATGTGTATAAATATAATTATATGGTACATTATATAAAGAACAACATATAATAATAAAATGATGATTCTTAATTTTACAGAATTGATATTTACAATGGAATTTTAAACCAATAGTTTGAAAAAATGTAATAAACATTGATAATTATATGATAATTTTAATATATAACATACATTTATAGTTTATTAGTTACTAAACAAGATTATACTTTTTAGTAAGTTAATTTTTAGGGAAATCTTTAGATGTAATATTATTTACAGAATGTTTATTTTATGTTTATTACAACCTCTAACTTCTATCATATTTATTCATTGGTTTTATAACCAGGTGTTATAATTTGTACATAAATAATATAAATAAATGTATATAGAAAAACTTAATACAAATTTCTGTCATTCTTTCTCTTTTTTTAGATAAATTTACACTTAAAGTTTACCATACCAATCCAATTAAATAATTTATAATTCTATAATGAGCATAAGACGATGCAATAAAAAATAGATGCAATATAAGAAACCGTACACAATCTTGCTGGACAACTGCAGTTTGACGAGACCCTTTATGATTGGGAAATTCACCAGTAGAATAAAATGTCTCTAGTAAGCGTTCTTTTTCTTCCCAGCGGTCAAACAACCATTTGGTCATTTCTTCTTGATCTTTAGGAACCTAAATTTTGGTTTTTATTCATTATTAAACTAAAAAATAAAGTTATTAAAATGATCGACATACTTGTGAACTAGGAAATAATCTGTAGTACATATGTGTGCGACACGCTCTTCTTTGACCCATAATGATAGTAGGTAAATCCAATGGTTTTCCTTCAGCATATGCTATTGTAATATCCAAAATCCAAGCTAACTTGTCAGTATTTTCATCTATTAAGTAAAATAAGGATCAAAAGATTAAAACTTTAACTAAATAAGACTAATAATTATTTTAAATTAATAAAACATTATATACTAAATTTCTAAGTTTTTAAATAAAATAATTGTTTGAATTATGAAGAATACAAAAGAGAAATTGATTAATAAGTGATTTTTTTTTGTTCCTCTCTACTCAATGTTTACTATACCATGTAATTATCATAAACTAGCTATAAAGAGTTTCTGTAAAAACAGTATCAGCAAGGAGTAACTACATGACACAAAGATAATGAAAATAAATTAATCTAAGATTGTTTAGTTATTATTCAAATTATTATTTATTAATAATAATATGTATTGAACTGTGTTTATTTAACTAATGCTATTATTAAAAATGTTTTCCCCTACTTAGATTTTGTACTTAAGATAGTTAAATGAAAGTATGCTCTTATACTGAGTCAATTCCTTTTATACTCCACATGTTAAACAAGTTTACAAACTTTAACAATTAAATATTCATGGAGATATATTGAATTATATTATGAAATAAAAACAAGAGAAGAAAAAATTATTGAATGCCAGCTAAAAGAAGACTATTGTGAATATTTAGGCAGTTTATTAATAAAATAAAATAAAAATAAGTTAGAAATTTTCTGGATTAACATTAAATCAATAAATAACTAATGAAATAGGAATACAATTTGATAATAATGAATAAATTATCCACAGTAAAAAAAATAATTATAATTAAATTATAGTACCATTCACATGACTTCAGAAGGTAAAACACAAGATAAGTACTACCAGAGTTACTAAACCAAAGAAATTTGTTTATATATTTTTATGTGTTATTCTTCATAAAATAAAAGATTTTTACAAAAATATTTATAATTATAACTTACTTAATTCAGTGTTATTGTTAGTCACACCGCCATATTTTGTTTGTTTTGGTGAAAGTTCATCAATGATTGCTGAAAAAGCTCCTAATCTTGGTAAAGTAACATGTTCTAATAAAGGTAGATTGTTTTTCTGAGCATACCTAAATTGATGATTAACAATGAATATTTTCAGATTGAAATTTATTTTATTTATTTAATCAATTACCGTAGACTAGCTTCTCGTCTTTTTCTTAAAAATCCACCTTCTGGAAATAATATGATTAATTTCCGCTGCCGAGGTATATAAGATCCACGAATGTGAGTCCGTAATTCTTTGACAGCTTGTTCTCTTTGATCTTTGCCCTGTCAAAAATAAAATAAATTCATGATAATTTATTTTAAATTTTAAGTATAAAACATATAAAAAATGTCACTTACTGATAAGATAAAAAAATCTTGATGTATGATAGAAATAATACCAAAATTAGTAAACTTAAAAATTCGGTCCATAATCCACATAATATTAGGAAGTACACCAGCTTTGGAATTAAAATTTGTCATTAACATTGGTACATCTGCTGTTGATTGATGGTTGACTAATACAAGTGTACGTTCATTTAAGCACAATCGAATATCATCCCCCATTTCAACAACTATACAAAAAATTAATACCATTTTTAATAAAACAAAAATCAAACAAAAAAACAGTTTAATAAACAAATTAAAAAGTCTAATAAAATGTATTAAAATACCTAATTTTAATTAATGGTATGAAAAGTACAAAATAACAAAAAAGGAAATATATTGTATTAAATTGTTAAATAATTAATTATTAAAATATTAAAAATTAGATTTTTTTCAATAAGTACTAAAATCTTAAAAATCTACTATGAGTAGTACTATGTAGTACATTTAATAAACATCTAATTACTTGAACACTCAAGTTTTGAATAAAATTATTATAGTTGTAAATAAATATATTTTAATGTTTGATCGAAATAATATAACAACAAATACTGTATTAATACTATTTATAAATATCATAAAAATAATTTTTTATTTCATATGGTAAAATTATAGTAATAAATCAATCTATGTGTTATCTAACATCAGTTAATAATACATTTTTAAATTGGTGTATATCGGATGTGAAAAATGTAATTTAAGTAAAAAGGTTAAGACATAATTACCATTATAAATACAATTTATACTTAATAGATTGTACAAATCGTTAAAACATAAAGACGATAATTTTTTTGACATTATATTTAAATATTAATACTGAACAGTTATTAGTATGTATTGATTCAGATATACATATGTGTATATATATATAATAATTATTATTGTTAATAATGTAGAAAAAATTACTTACTATCATATCCAGCTGACCAAGACCACATAGAAACCATTGCTAATAGCCAATGAAAAAATAATCCCTCAAGTTTCCAGTACAAATCAGGATGAAGTTTTCGCAATGGGAAAAAAATAATCATCCAAACACAATATGTTGGTATACAGTATATGTTGTTGATGAGTACAAATAGTATACGTATAATGACTTTACATGTTACAGTAGCTCTGAAAACAATGTTTAAAAAAAAAAAATAATAATTATTATAATTTCTTTTTATGAAGATTTTTGTGATCTGTTGGTTAAAACAATGATTACATTTAGTAACTCTATAGTGTAAATGTACAAGGTATAAATTACAAAATTAGTTCAAGGAGGTAGTAATTTGTTAAAGGCACATCAGCATTATAAGTTATGAAATATTAAGATACTAAGAAAAATGTTAGTGAATATTAATTGTAATATAAATTTATATATTTATTTATTTTTGATTAAGAAAAAAAAAAAGTTTCAATAATAAATAATTTTAGTATCAGTCAAAAGTATAATACTTTAACTTAGATAACATTCCTCTAAATAAGCATGTAAACATGTTTAATCAAACATTTTACAAAGTATAAGAAATTATACAAGTTGAACAATTTGTGAATGAAGTAGTGAGATTAAAATTATGAAAATAAGGGGACATAATAGACTGCTTCATTTTAGTATATTACCATATTAGTAATATGTTAATAAATTAATTGTAAGTTAAGAATAAATATTACATACTATATACTACATTTATATATTACATGATATTATCTGTTGTAATAAACTTGTATAAACTAATAACTTAAGATAAATAAGTCATAGACAAAATAAACTATTAATTGAGATTTAGAAATTGTAAATTGATGCATTGAAATTAGGATTTTAATAATTTAAAATACATAAAAATAAAACTTAAATACACAACATGATAATATATTTCATAATGCTTATATTAATGTCAACTATTCAAATTATAAATCAATTAAGTTTCATGAATATATACAAAAACAAATTAGTTTGATAGAGATATTAAATACTGTTATATTCAAGAAATTATGAATGTTTTAAAAATAAAATAAGAATGAAAACCAAACCATGTTTATTAATTATCTAATTATAACAATAAAAAAAAAAAATACATTGATATTAACATTAAATTATGATTATTAATTTTTTGTATAACTCTCAGTAGATGTAAAGCACAAAATGATTGAAGTCCATTTGCTCTCGTGTTTTTACTGAATGATGCATCTATTGTAACACTTTGATAAGCTATTTATATGAACCATGGAGTTATTATTATTATATGATTTAAATTAATTTTTTATCAAAAATAAAATGATTCATCCTCGAAAACCCAATATGAAGAGTGGAGACATAAAATGAATGTACCAGAAACTTAAATTGAAATTCAACAGAAATTGTTGAGTGACTTTAGTTTTTCAAAACCTTTCAATTATTAATGATTTAATAATAAATCACTGAAGTTGAAACCTCTAAACAGCCTAAGCACATAGATTACATAAAAAATGAATTGGAACAATATTGAGCAAAACAGTTAGTTTTAACATAAATAGGAAATGTTTAAATTCTTTTTTTTTCCACAAATGGAATAATGGTCAATTTTATAATAAAAGTGTACATATGCTTTGAAGATGAAACATACTGTTTATTTGAATACGGTTCAGATTCTGAAAAATGACTCGTAGAGTCTGAACATAATTATATTTAACTGTTAGGATGCATATCTCTGTTTTTCTTTTAGGTACTTATTTGTTTCATGCTTATATGTCTATTGAATATAATTTTAAATTGGTAATTTAATGAAAGCTAATGGTCATGTGCAATAATAAAGATAAAAAAAAAACATTTTAGAGCAAACAAAATGCATACATGTATTATTATAATTGATAAACAAATTATGATTTAACAGAACTATATAAGGATAATTCAGTAAAATGTGCATTTAATAAAATTAATTTAAATTAAATTTTATTATTTTATGTATTATTTTCAATATTATATAAATAATAATTATATATATATATATATATATATATATATATATATATATAAATATTATAAATATATAATAATTAATAGAGAAAAAAATTGTTATAATTCTAATAATTTACAATAATTCATGAATTGGTAATGCCATTAATTATAAAATATTAATTTAATAATTTTAATATATATATATATATAAAAGAAAATTAATTACCTAATTAATAATATATTTTATTTGACTATAGAAATCAAAAATTATATACTAAATGATGTGTAAGATTTGAAATAATTGTAATAAATACCATTTTAAGAATTTATAAAATAAATTTAAATAGATAAAAACTTTTAAAATTAAATGTTATAAATTTAATAGAATATGAAGTTTAACTTTCTTTCATTTTGACAATTACTAACAACATGGCAAATTAAAAAAAGTTTGTATTTATGTTGACATATATTTAAAATAAATAATAGCAACAACTAATGATAATATATATAGGTATAAGTTCTGTACACAATTTAAATAACATTAGGTGTTCTATAGTTATATACCTCTACCTATTATTTACAAGTAAATTCAAGTCATTTTTAAGACTGATGATTCATAATAAATAAAATAATAATAGTGTTGCTAAGATAACTAATGAGTAACATAGGTATGTTTCAACAAATAAATTGCTTAGCCTTGAGAATCAGTATGATGATTATAATTTTCTATTGACTATTTGTATTGCTGTAAATCAGATAGTTTGATTATTTGAAATTCTTACAAATGAAAATAATTGTTTATGTGGGTTATCAGTTTTATTATGACATAGCTTTCTAACATTTTCAAATTGAGTATTAACAACTGGGTTACATGAAAAAGCATACAAGTAACTAAGTCATATAACATGTCCAGGGACCAAGCAATTTACCAACGATAAATGTTTAAGAACAATTGAAAATACTAGACTAATTAATTGATTTGGTTCAATGCATTTCATCAACGACAATATAAGTATAGCAACGCCTACACATTGCGTTATATTTTTTTTTTGGGTCATAGTAAATTTGTACCAACCTGTAACCAAATGTTTTCAACCGCCCGTCCGGCATCTCTATACTCATGTCAGTCTTCATAGCCGAACTGGTTAAACCATGCACGTGCAAACAATATCAATATATCTGCGCGAGAACGAAAAAACAGTTGAAAAAATGAAAAATTACCACACGAACATCATAACAATGTCATGGTTGTATGGGAGGTGAGAGTCGAGTGGTCCGATCGGAAAAATCCACCGGTCCAAAACTCGGGGGCAGCGTACTCACTAGACAAGTAAACAAATATACTCTGATGTGCGTGAGAGTCCGAATTCACATTTTACTCGGACAGCGCGGAGGTTGGCCGATAACGTCAGGCACACGTTCCGACGGTTGGGCCGGCGTCTGTGATCGATTATCGCGCGTGTCCGACACTCCGACTGATGCACACGTCTGGGTGTTGGAAACGACCGACGGCGAGTTTCACGACGGGAACGACACTCGAACTGCGTACAGGGCCGACTGAGGAACACCGTTCCGCCGTTTTTATCAGCAGCGAAAAAACAAAAATAATAATACAATCTATGTTCTACACGGACCGAAATAAATGACCTTAACACACACCGCAGCTGTTGCAGCCGCTGGTAATCAGTACAACCCCGGCGGACAATCAGTACCGTGGTTACGTGTCTCGGCATCGGACCATTCGGTCACGTCACACCTTGGTCCCCACCGACGGTTCTACGTCTGAGTCACAGAACTACGGAACACCTTAACAAAATTATTGTATGTGAATGGTTATATAGTAGTTAAATATTCGAAAATTTCTCTAAACAAACGTATAACGTTTTACCAAAGGAAAAGTTTACGTCTATATGATTTTTTTTTGTGTGACGAGCCGTTTACGAAAATGAAATAGCTAAAGAAAATTAAACAATAATAATTGTTTTAATGACGTTAATATTGCCGTACGTTTTCGTCTCGATTTCTGCAACCGTTCGATAGTATATCGTTTAACTATAAAAATGATCAATATTAGATTAAACAATTAAATTTAAATTCTAGTTTCCAAACATTAAAGTGTGCCCACAAGGTTCCAATGATATACACTTATTTAAATATTGTATCAGTGTGTTATGTAATACGCTTATCAATAATATTATCATTATTTCAAACTGTATTAACAGGAAACTCAATAAAATAAAAATCGGTAAAGTTTTTAAATGAATTGATAAATTTTTTAAAAATCTGAACAGTTTGGTGGCAATTGGTAGGACTCTGTAAACAGCAAAAACAAACCTGATAAACCCAAGGATTATTATTAATACACCTTGCGACAAACCGGCATGATGGGCATACGTAAACTGCGCACAAATGACCTTTTTTTTTTTTGTAAACTGCACCCAAACTGTTATCCTTGTTAAAAAGTTATAATGTAAATTGCGCACGATTGTATATTATACAAAACTTTTAACTTGTCAACGTAAATCTATGATTGTGTACTTTTTCGATCAAAATGTATTTTTGTCCAAAACCATAGTTAGAAAAATATCAATACGTTATCGAATAACTATTGCGGTATACGATAACTGATGATTATTACTACATCCGGTATAGATCTGCTAGTACTTATCATATTCACTTTAATCAGTGAAGTCACGAAGGCCAAAAAATTCGTTTCACAGCGCGAAAAGAGCTTGAAAATAATTTAATTAATAAATATAAAAGTGGTCAAACTCCAATTGATGAATATATTTGATATATGCTATTATTTGTCCTAATATTGTACTTTTTAAAATTATATATATTTTTTTTTGATTTTAATTAATGGATTTAATTTTTTTTAACTATTTAACTGTTAATATTATATAGCTGTAATATATAAAATAAAGCTATAAAACATAGCTCTTCATTTTTTAAATTTTACCGGGGCGCAGTTTACAAGTGTGATTATGTGTTTACCTGTACCTTGGGCGTAGTTAACAATCACCGGGAATGATAACAGCCGCCTCGGAGATAAGTGATAACACTATCTTAACGTTTTTGATAAAAATTGAATTATCCACTAAAAATATAATAATACTCATACAATTTTATGTTCAACGCGCCTCATACATTATAAAAGAATATTTAAAATGAGTATCATTCAAAAATTTTAGTGGTTCGTTTGCATATTTGTTCTACATACTTCTACATACTTAAATGTACACCGAGTATACATTTCTTTTGATTTAATGATAGACTATTGTTTATTTATTTAATCATATCGCAGAAACTATAAAGAGCCACAGTGTCCATTGGTATAAGTACCTCAATATTTTCAGCATGTTAGGAATAATTTATCTCGTAATGGTATTGGTATTTCATCAATCTATTATGTATAAACGTATTATTACAACATTCTCATTCGACATACTCAACATTTTGACTTGTCATAGATTACAATAAAATTATCAACTCTTATTATTATTATTATGCGTAATCTGCACTGTTATAATTAGCTATAACTGTAATAAATTAAAATTTTGATTGGTCTAACAATTTATAATTTTAAATCAAATCAATCGAACAATTAAGTAATTAATATAATTTTCTATTTTACTACCTAACTTAAACTTACTATCTTGAAAAATTAAAACTACATGATGAATGATTAAATTGTTCCAACATAAATTGTTTGATTTCTAATGGGAGTATAAATACTGTAAAAACATTTTTTAATTCTCCAAATGAAGTATATATATTTTCATTTTAGATTATTTTAATTACATAATAATTTGATACATAATAATTACATACATAATAATTTCGTAAAAATAAAGAAGCATGGAGATACCTGGTCATTGCACCAAAACAATTTTTCCCCCATATTTTGACTTAACAACAATTAGAGGTGAAAATATAATCACAAATAATACGAAACTGTGCAACATTAAAACTATGTATTATAAATTATATTTTAAAACGTATTATAGGGAAAAAAACAACTTATTGATTTATAATAAAACCCGGTTATAGTACCGAAATTCACGTTTTACCTTAATTTTTTTTTTTTTTTGTTTTTCGCTAATATTTTCAAATGTATTGGGAATTATAACTTTTGACCACTTCACACTACAAGCTAGATTCAAATTTATATCAGAAAATGTACTGATATCGAAAATTGAAACATTTTTATTGCTAAAAAAGTGTTAACAGACACAAAAAAACACACTCCATAAAGAATCTAAAACAGTCGTTACTATAGATATTTCTACCTATTTTAATAGATTTAATTGAAATTACAAAATAAACAACTTCCTTTTATTTTATAAAATTAAACAAAATGAGTAACTAGGTAATACTAATTTAACAATACATTATTTAAAATTTAAATTAAATAACTTTTACTTTATTAAAATAATTGTAATAAAATACATCATATATATAATATATTATATATGTATATATAAAACTTCAGGGAAGTCCCTCAGGGAAATATATGACAATAATATGTCATATACTACGGGTTTAGCACACCTGGGGCCCCGAGATCCACTGGCGGAAATCCTCAGGCAGGAGATTCCAGTGGGATTAAACCGAACTACTCCCGGTATAAGGAAGAGTAAGAAATTGCTCTTAAAGGCGGATGAACGAGTCTACTTGCTCGTCAACGGTATAGAATGCGAAAAGCAAAAGGAAACTATTGCATTAAAGATCTAAATAGACATCCTAAGTATCAACAATTTAAAGTATGAATGCTTCGACAGTAAAAAATTCCGGAGGTAAAATAGTCCCCCGGGTGGGGATTACTCAAGAAGTTAATCATTTAAAATTGAAGGTGAAAGTTCATGATATTAAGAGGGTTGATATGTGGTATGTAAGAAAACTTCTGCAGGCAGGTGCAATATAGCGATAAAATAATTCTAGTCAAATTAGATACCAAATCATTAGATACTGTGATAGTTCAAGTTTATATGCCCATCTCAAAAGAAGAAGACAATGAAGTAGAAAGAATATATGATGAAATAAATGATATAATAAAGGCTGTCAAAGGAGAAGAAAATTTTATAATACTAGGAGACTTTAATGCTACCGCGGAGGAAGGAAAAGAAAAGAATATTGTCAGCAAGTATGGACTTAGAATTAAAAACCCAAGAGGAGAAATCATATTAGAGTTCTCTGTACGGAATAATGTAATAATAACGAACACACACTTCTAACATCACAAAAGAAGATGATATACGTGGAAAGCTCCTGGAAATATAAGAAGAGCACAAATAGATTACATATTGGTAAGAGGAAGATACAAAAATCAGGTTAAAGATAGTAAAAGCTATCCAGGAGCCAATATTAATAGCGATCATAACCTGGTCCTGATGCATTGTGAACTTATGTTTAAGAAACTACAAAATAAAAAAGTTATGAAACGCTTTCAACTGACAAACCTGAAAGTGGAAGAAATCAAAAATGCATACAAAGAAAATACTAGATCTATGACTCATAAAAGTACTTCAAGCGTTGAGGAAAAGTGGGGAAATATCAACCAGTCTTTGAACTGCTAACAAAAAAAAAATAATATATATATATATACAACTTATTATTATAAAACTGTAACTAGGCAATATTTATTTAACAAAATATTATACCTAACAAAATATAAACAACAGATAAATGATTAATTGTTTCAAAATCATTGTCTAGTTTAAAATCGGAGTCCAAATTGTCGTCCAAATTGGAAAAAGAAACACCATTGCAGTCTATGAGAATATTAAGTATGTTATCATCATTACAGTCCATAATGTCATATATTATTATTAAAATAAAAAAAATATTAAAATGTATTGTATACAATATATTATAACCGATTAAAACAGTTAATTATTATTAATTATTATAATTAATTAACGTAAAGTAAATGATAAAAATTATTCTTTATCAGAAAATGCAAAAAAGTGCATTTCGAATAAAAGTGGAGATAGCCGGTTCTTGCACGGGACCCTTCAATTATAACATTTATTATAACTTAGTGTAAACGTTTAAGAAAAATAGACCGTCTTCGAGCTAATCGTTTTAATTAGATTAGAAGATTTTTTGTGTTAAAAAATTCTATTTGAGATCTTCATTTTTTTTTGATCGTTTGAAACCATTTGTTTCAAACAACTGTTTCGCTCCATTAATAGCCTCTTCAGTAAACTTATCTTTATTTTCAATCATATATTTGTAAGTCCACAAGTCCATATCAATGATTTTATATGTAATTCCTCTGATACGCAGTTCAGCACCTAAAAGAGAAAAAATAAAATTAATAAATTATAAGAGTCTTAACATTTAGTTTTATAATTTAATGTGCAAACACTTCCCATTAATTATTATATTTGAATTAATTTGTAATTTATACAATGTATTTTTATTTCAACTATCGTGTAAAAATGTGCAAAAACATAAAATCAATAAATTATGAACATCAGCTTATGGATACCACGTCTTTTTTTAGGAGCCAAAAGAAAAAATTTAATTAATTATCGCTTTTCCCAGAAAATGTAAGTTTAAATATATTCCTGGATTCTTTCAGAATCTTAATAAAAACTAACCCACCATACATTCAATTATTATTAAAATTGATTGATTAAATTATTGATCGTAAAAATCAAAATCGTAATTGTTTAATTGAGAGAGGTTCTCAGGATATACATTTTTTTAAAGTCATATAGAATGAACGTGGAGCTATAAATTGAATGTTTACCGATAGCAAAATCTTTTGGGCCGAAAAACTGATTTTCTTCTACTTTAGTTCCAGGTTTTCGAAGCCGGGTAGGTGCTATAATTCGTCCTTTTAAGAATCCACTGTTCTTCATTGGCACTTCAGTTATGCTGATTTGATCATTGCCAAGGCAATACTCCATGAGAAAATTTCTATAACTATCTACTTCAATAACCGGTACCATCTTTAACTTGTATCGTAGTTTTTTAAATGAGTCCATCACGTATGTAACAAAATCTGTAGTTTTTGGTGGCTTCGGTATTAGAGATATACAATTCTGATATGTGTCATCTGGGTCACCAATACCCGTATGGGGTGGTATAATCTATAATTTCATAAACACAAAAAAGTTTGAAAATTGATTTCGTTGTATTTGTTGATTAGCAAAATTACCAAGTGACATTTAAGGTTTGAAACTTTTGGTTCTACAACTTGGATAGGATCTGGTTGATTAATTTTCAAAATATCTTTATAATGTCTTCTGGTAAACGCATCACAATCGTAGAGCAAAAATCTAAAATCAAATTATCCGGTTAAAGAATTTACATTTTTATTCAAATTATGTGTACACACCTACGACCCAACACAAAAATTGTCTTTCCTATTATTAAATCTTTTGCTTGATAATATTTTTGGATTGCATTAGCTCCAACTTCTAAACAAATATTTGGGAAATTTTCTGAAAATAAAAAATAATTTTTTTTAAACACCTATTTACTCAAATTTATATGACCTTAATACATAATATAAAAAAACATAATAAAAGTAATAAAGCACTTGGAGAGGAAGTTATAGTTTGACCATACATGTCAGGTCGATTATTTTATGTACTTGAGGGTTAACATTAACTACAAAAATGATATGTATAATGAAGTTAAACTTAGAATAAACTCGGCGAATCGAGCATACTTCTCATTGAATAAATGGTTAAGTTTAAGAATGTTATCACGAGACACAGAGAAAAATGCAGTTAGCTTATGTACGTCTAATAGTGACGTATGCTTGTAAGAGATGGTCGACGACTTAAGGGGATAGATAAAAACTTGAGAGAAAAATATATTGACTTGTCAGTAATGAATCATTTGGAGACTATGAAAGGAGAAAAAATACCAATCTGGAATCTCTATATAACCAACCGATATTATCTATTATATATCTGAAAGCCTAGCATTTTGAATGGTCGGGCCATGTGTGGCATATAATAATATAATTCGAAAGGTAATGATTAATAAACCAACTGTTGAAATCCTCTTGAGTGTCTCTACAGAAAACTTTAGCAACGATGGCTAGATAAAGTAAATACAGATATAAGAATGATAGGCGGAACAATAAACATCGAGACTACTACTAACCATGACGTGCGGAGAGGATTCATAATAAACACATTATCTGCGGACATTTATGTATACATTACCCATTAAAATAATTTCATAATTTATCAATTTTTACATAATATTAAATTATATCATGCGTATATTTTTATGTATAAAATAACAGACCTTTTTTATGTACCAAATTTCTTATAACACTATTGAACTTTTTTTTATTTAAAAAAAGTTAATTGTTAATACTTATAATGATTCACTTACCTGGTATGTTTAACCGATCTTTTGGTAATTTAATTTTTCCTAAAAACAGTGAATTTCCAATTTTTTCAATTGTACTTCCCATGCCTTGAGATTCATATATTTCTATTTTATCGTTAGCCAAGAAATAATAGAGTACATAGAACCTCCATCCTGCAGGTTCCAGTCCTTCGTCATACCAAGCCGCATAGAACCTTTTAAATGTTTGCATTTATTTAAAAAAAATTATAAAATATGATAAAAAGTATAATTAAAAAAATCAAATAGGTAAAAAATTAATTTTAAAAAACTATTGTTAAAGTCTTAAATTGTTTTTACATGGATATGAATTATCCATGGAGTTCTTGCTAAAATGTCCTCCAAAACGTCATATTCGTTGCCGTCAACTAAATCGTTTTAAACGGGATAGACTTAATTTTACTCGTTTGTATTATTGATGATATATCTGTGTATAGCGGAATACTTACTCTTTTTATATACTTTAAATATACTTTTTTAAACTTAAAACTAATAGTAATTTAAAAGAATACCCACGATTAGTGAATTCCAAAAAATTTAAATACACCAACAGCTAGTTTCATACATATTGTGTAATAATACATTTATAATTCAATTAACAATATTACCTATTATTAATGTCATAGTTACCTTAGAACTTTTTTATCGTATTTCAAAAACTGATTGAGTTTTTTATTTTCATCTTCCTCTATTTTAGTACATTGCATTTGTGTTATCATTGATTTGTTCTTTTGTTCTCGTATTCTATTCATTATATATGGGTCGTATGGTATTGGTTCATCGGGACAGATTTTGATGCCTTGTGTTAAAAAAAAATTCTTGGTGAACAGATCGCAACTGCACAACTTATATTTAATGCCATAAAACGATAGTTCTACGCCATTGTTGAAGTCTGACCAATGATAATTTCTATTCTTGTGATATGGATTTGGTATTTTTCCGCGTTTCAGAAGACATCCTTGGACATAACCGGAATTCTGTTTACCAATAATATATATATGACATAAATCATATAATTAGAATTATAAATACTAACTTTACTTGTTAAGTTTTATATTTGGACGAAACTAATATATTTTTTAAATTTTATCATCTAGTAATCTACGTTTTGATTAACAATTTGTGTGTAAAAAGTACCAAAATTTGGTTTATGGGTATGTTATTGTACTATTTGATAACCATTCGAAACTATTAACTATTAATTTATTCATAAAATTAACTAAAAAAGTATTGAGTATTTAGTAAAAATAGTTAAAAAGACAATTGCTATAGTAATACTAGAAGTAGTATATACTATAGTATACAGACAAACCAAATTTTTGTACTTTTTTTCACTTACATTAAAAAAAAAAAACTTAGGATTTCATGATTTTTAAACTACCTTAAAATATCGAAATATTTAGATTATAGAAAATTATAACGGTAATTCAATTTTATATTATGAAATAAATAATAAACTAACCTTTATAACAGGTTCTATAACGCAAATAGTATCATCCACCAAAAAGTATGTAATTTTAACTCGTCGAATCATTAACTTTTCTTTGTTTGTGTTCATCTCAGTCGATATGACTTCTGTATATCCATTAAAAGAAAGACATTTTCCATCTAACTTTATAAAGTTAGATTGAACAATAGGTTTAGGAGGGTCTTTTGCTCGTCCATATGTAAGTGTTGGATTGTAACTATTAAAATATCAAATAAAGATTATCAAAATATATTATTAATTTATTTTTATTTTTTAATTATGTCATATGAATATATTTAGAATTTATGTTTTATCTATATTCAGAACACAGATTAACATTGAATATTTCTAAAATGTATAGATTTGCCATAATTTCCTTTCTTCATAGAGGATCATCAATGATTTGTGACAGGGATGGATTGCAATTTTGAACAAACCCGGGAAAATGTATTTGTAGTGGCCCACAAGTTGTTGTTCGTAGTTAAAAATAATTTGACCTCATGAAATGCAGTGGCATAGATATTATTTAAGTTATCTCAAAAATTAATTTTAACTAAAATAAATGTCTTACCACTAACTTACTAAAAATGAAACTGTAAAATAAAAAAATTTGAACTCATTATAAATTGTCATTAGATTCTATTTAATATATAAGTACATATTCTAATAAAATATTCATAAAAATAAAGAGTTTACAGTATTAAATATCGTATTATATACAACAAACATTAAGCAATATAGGTACATATAACTAGAGATTAAATGATTCACCTAATGAAATTTATAAAGAAAGTTTTTTTTTAATCCAGAACAATGTTTTTCTACTTCTTCAATGATTTTATCAGAGAGATTTTATCTGATTTCATCAGAGTATTAATTTCTGTTTTTCAGTAGCCATTAACATAAATGCTTCTAACTTTGGATCAAACGGTTGACTGTTGTCTTATTTTTATAATTTTTAGAAATGAAAAAGACCTTTCAAATGACACTTGCGTTGAAGGTAGCGTAGGTGCATATTTATATGCCAAAAATAAATAAGAACATGCATCACAATACAAATTATATTTTTGTAAAATAATAAAGCAACAAAAAGCACAGTTTTTACAAGTCTTGCAAGTTATATTTTTGGATTCTTAACTAAATGCAATGTCAATATTATCTTTTTCTTCTTCCATTATTTCCAAAGAATATGTAGTAGCAAATAATTCAGACAACATTTTCTTCAAATAGTCCTAATTTATTGCAAAATGTATAAGTTCTTCTCTTAAGAGGTTATCATTGTATTTAAAATTTTTAACTTATCACATAAAGTAGTGAATGCTTGATCGGAAAATCCATTTTGAATTATATGAGGAAAACATCTTGGTGATAAACATGATAAATCATTATATAATTGTCTGTGTTTAATAATTTTTTGTTTTAATACTCTTAAACACAAAATCAAATATCCTATTATGAACTTCTATTTCAATCTTCTTAAAATAATTATCGTATACCATATCTCTACTAATCTCATCTGGTAACATTTTTTTGTTACAGGTCCTTATGTTCGGTAATACTTCATTCACATTTATAGAACTATTACCATCACATCTTAAATCCAACTCTTGATTAGCCTAAACAACAAATGAGTCGGTAGATAATTTTATTCATTTAATATTTCTTTAAACTTTTTCTAGAAGTTCAAGTGCTCCATCAAATAGGTCTTGAGCTTTAATTAAGTCCATGGATTTTGATTGCAGGTATCTCGATAAAGAGTATGTAATACCAAATATTCTTTTATATATACATATATGAAGTTAAAATTGTACAAAAATTGAATAATGTATTTTTCATTGTTTCAGAATTGATCCTAATATCTGTTGTAGTCTTTTCATCATTAATAATATCATATAAAGCCATTAAAACATCAATGTAGAGTGCATTACTATTAAAAGCACCTTCAATCAAGGCTGTAACTGGGGGGTCCAGGGGTCCGGACCCCCCCACCGAAATTTTCAAAAGTAGAAACATTTTAGCGGTGAATATAGTTTACTAACCAAAAATTGTATTAAATAATAATGTTAGAACCCCCCCCCCCCCCGAAATTTTTTTCCCGTTACGGCCTTGTCTTCAATAGATTCAAATATTTTAATCAATGCAACTTCTTTACTCCACTATCTTGTTTCACCAATATTCTGTAAGTGTTAATGTAGACTATGGCGTTGCTCTATCCAAACTCGTTTACGCATTTGCAAGTCTTTAAAAAAAACAGCAAAACTATTACACAAATTAAATTGGGATGCAGCAGCCAATGGAGTTGGTAAGCATCTGACAAAATGCAATTTAATACACGATTGTAAAACTAAGCATATACTTGATACGGAGATGATTCATTAAGCCATCTTTAAAATCCATTGTATTATCCTTGCATATTGTATTAGTCGCACTATTGGCAGTCCAGTTTTTTATATTCAGATTATTTAAAAGTAAAACATATTGTAATAGATTATGCATGCCTTTACCTATTGAATCTGAACAGTTAACAACAGAAATTAATCTTTCGTTTACACCATTGTCATCAACATATCTCAAAATGATTGCTCATTGATCTGATGATGTGATATCTTGAGTTGTATCTAACATAACTGTATACATTTTAGAATTTTCAACTTCATCACAAATTAATTTTTATCAAACGATTTATTGCAGCAATAACATAATCAACTTTGGTTTTAGATATAAATGTAACCAGCCCTCTTCTTCTTCTTTACTAGCACGTTCTTGCACTTTACGGATCTTTTTTATTACAATATCCAAATGCTCTTTCATTTGAAAATCATATTTTGCTTAAAACATTATAATTTCTGAAAAATTTTCATGGTCAACAAATGGATTGTGTGATTTACATTTATCCGGAGGAAACTAGGTAAATGTTTAATTATATATGCGTAGGTACTAACCGTGTTACGTTTAATTTCTCAGCATATAAAGTAGAGTCCACGTCCAAAGGATATTTTCCAATACCAATTGATTTCACTTTAGGAATCGCATACCCGTTTTTCCATTGAAACTGGGAACTCAAATGATGATTTTTTTTCTACATTAAATATAATTTTATATTCACATTAAAATACATTAAAAAACAATAAAATAAATGTGTTTAATATTATAACAGCAATTAATTAGAACATCGATTTCAAATAATGTATGAATTAATAAATGAAACATTTTTGAGTTGGTCAATTATTATTACTACATCTGCTGCACCAGTTTTGTATGCACCATGCTCACCAATGCTTATAATCAGGGCTCGGAAGTTCTAGCAAATGCATATTTTTCTTGGTTCATCCTAGAACATTCAAAGTAAGAAACAAATATGTTTCTCACTGCTCGGATATCATACACAAAATTTAATTTTGCTATTTTTTGCATATTTACGGGTTTTATTGCTATTTTGCTAATTTAGGGTTTATATTGCTATTTTCGGGTATATTTTCACATAATGTAGGAAATAATCAAATTTTGTTGATCATAATTGTATTTACTTGGTTATGTTTTTAAAAATATTTTAATTATTGGAAATAAATAACTTCATCAAATATTATTTTATGTTTTCATTGATGATTTGTTGTATCAATAGTTAGTGAGGTGATTGTTATTCCTTTATTATATCATTGCATTAGATCATTGTTTCTCAACCTTTTTAGTGTCGCGACCCCCAAAATAGGTATAAAATATGGTCAATCACTTCATGACCTCCCACCCGCCATCTATATAAGGTAAAAATTTGATTTGAATTTGTATTTTGTAAATCAGCGTTTTATAATTTTTGACCTACGCGACCCAATTCAAGGTGTTCGCGACCCCCTTAGGGGTCGCGACCTCCTGGTTGAGAAACGCTGCATTAGATTATCAAACATATTAATAATCTAGGATAATTATCAAGATAAATATATAAAGTAATTTAATAATAAGTACATTTTTACAAATATATTCAAGTAATTTAACATTTTTGTTAAGATTTTATTATTCAATCAGTCCATACTGTGTCTAATGAGCCTAACAATTTGTAAAATTAAATTTTTTTCAA